GGCAAATTATAAGTTACTTCCTTGAAGAAACATTTTTTATTTGAACAAATAGGACTGAAAGACAGTGGTACCATGTCGATTCCTGCACAGTGGGTCACACCAGTTCTCCCTCCTTGTACTGGCGAAGTGGAGCTATTACTCTGGAAGCTTCATGGGGATCTGGGCACTTTCAGGGGAGGCTGAGATTCCACTGAAGCAAGAGCTGCAGCTGCAACTTCCTCTTAGGCCTGGGCTTGGGCCTTTGACTGGCACAGCCTAAAATCCATGTGGGTTCAAGCAGGTTTCCTTAACTTCGGGTGAGTGACATAGGCAAGTCAATTTGCTGACACACTTGGCATCATGGGCTTACTTGCCACACTCAGGGCCGTTGTAGCCTCCATCTGTGTACTCCTAGCCTCGGCCTGTTGTTCTCCATCTTCTTCGGGCATTCCTTGTTGTGTTTCTTGACAAAATCCAGGCTCTTAAAAAGTCCAGGGTCCATCTCCTTAAAGAATCACATCTTTGTAAGTAGCATTTCTGGCGCCTGGCTGGTTGTGGCATGGCTTTTGGACTTGGTCTAGTCTGCATCATTGTTGTGGTTCCCAAGTACTCGGGACCAGAAGAAAATCATTCTTCATAAGAAAAAAAGAAATCAGTTGTTTAAAGTAAAACCAATAGAAATGTTATTATTTTCTGCATATGTAGAGACATAATGTATAACAACATCGCAACATTTCATATATGATGAGACAACAACTTTTTAACATGGCAATATGACAGTTTTGATGAGACCAGCTTTTGTTCCAAAGCCTCCTACTGTTTACCTTGCTCGGGACATCTTATAGCCATGTAGCTTAAGTTTTCAATTCTAGGTTCACTGATAGAGTGTTCCAAATTCTATTTAATTCCTATAACTGAATAATCAAACACAACAGAAACAGTGTTTTTAGATTTCAGTTACTGGTTACAAGATTCCACAAATATCCTAGAATTAGGGTGCTTTGTAGTGGATTTCAATAGGTTTCTTCTTACTTTAAAAGAGTTTGATCTTCCCTTTTTATTCTTTCTAAGCATATGTGCTAAAACTAGTACTTCTCTTTAAACTTTTATTTTATATTTACTTTTATTTTACATTTAAATAGTTTCAAAAGGTTCACAAAGAACTTGGCAAGTGTGTTTATATCAACCTTCATTTTTATTAAACTTGTTAAGAAAGTCAGATACAGTTTGAAATGATGGCAAACTTAATGTCTTCTTACATTAATATACTTTATTGTGCAGTTCCAGTACAGTGGCTTAGGACTGTACCTTTATAAATTTGATGAAGATCAATGTATAAGGCTTGCTTTGAAACATGTAGGATTTACAGCAGGCAACTTTGTAGCTGTTAATTGTAAAGACAGATGGGCCTTTAGCCTAGATGTTAAGACGCCTCTGCCCCATCTGAGGTCCTTTTGGACACCTGGCTATGGATCCGGACTTCATCTTCCTGCTGGTGCAGATGCTGGAAGGCAGTGGTGGCTCAAGGAGTTGGGCTTCTGCCACACCTGTGGGAGCCATGCAGTAAGTTCTTAGGTTCTGGTTTTGGTCTGGGTTATTTGAGGACTGACACAATGGATGGGAATTCTCCACCCTCGTCCCCACAACTCCCACTGCCTCACTAATACATACATTCTTTTTAACAATTTAGATAGTTCTACATTTTAAATATTTGATTTTGTGAATTAAAATACAACTTCACTAATAATCAGTCACGAAACTGGTGGATTTCAAAGGACTAGCATGCTCTCAAATTATATCTAATAAATACTAAAGATAAGCATGTTAAGGCTTCTGTAAAGGAATATTAATAATACAAAATATTTTAATGATTTTCAGAATATATATTTATTGCTGTCAAAATCTATTGATAAAGTACTACATTAAAAGCAAGAACTTCAACCTTTTTAAGTTTAACTTAATTTATACCAAAATACACAACAAAAAAGAAAACCTTTACAAAAAAGGTTATTCTAGAAAAAGGATTACAGAGAGTGGTAATTTGAGATGCCATCCTGGGATGTACGCTACTAGTTCAAATGTGCAAGCTCCAACTTAACAAATGTTTAAAATACTTGAGTTTTTAAAACAGTGCCAAAATAAACCACATCTTTTCTAAAGATGACATATTTAGCTAAGCATGAGCAATATAAATCTTTCAACCATTCCATATATTTGTTTAAAAGCCTCAAAAACCACGTGTATTTCCAATCAAACAAGAAGAAAATGCTGAAATCACTGGAGCCTAACAGTTGACTTTTAAAGCAATTTTTTAATAAAAGCAAATGTAATTTTATATGTCTATGTGTGAGTATGCATGAATAAATAGCTTAGTTGTAAGTAGCAGTTATCAATAACACCATAGTATCAGTGCAAAATTTGTATTAGTTATAAAACTAAGATGATAAAAATGTATGGACAACGGCTATTTGTTGCATAATACCTTATGAATTATGTTTGAAAATTGAAACTTTAAAAATATGATTTTCAAGAATACTACATATCAAATGCTGGCCTAAGTAATTATACTTAATATTAAAAACAGGAACCTTCATTTGTCTACCTCTGTCTAGGAAATAATTCTGTTATTAAATGATCTGAATCCATTTTAAAATAAGGACATAGTAAAAAACATCAACTTTTTCCTTGAAAAAAGTAAGTGAAATATTTTATTCTACAGAATATCTTAAATACTTTCAATAGTGGCTCATTTTAAAAGTTAGTATTAACAGTTCCTAGGTAATATAATTAATAATTTTGCTATAACTGCCTGTCTTCAGTAACAATCAATAGCTTATAAGTGGTTTTATCTCTAACATTTGCCTTAGGATGTCCAGACTGCTATTTTACAAAACTACACTGTCAGATTTTATCATCAGAGCAAATTAAAAATATTACAGAGTGACTCAAGGTTAGGTTTTATTAACAATGAACTGTCACAATATTCCTAATTAGTGAAGGCTGAAGCAGAGATGCCATTACTATAATACCATAGAGAGGTGATTAATAATGTGATGCTATTTACATACTCAGTACTCATTACTGTACTCCACTGAAAGAAATATGCACAATATTTTGATTATTAAAGAATTCATTTGTGTGTAAAAGAAATGGTACAACAACAGAAATCATAAGAGTTAAAATCTCTAGTTATTTTTAGACAGTGTTTGAGACATACAGCTATGCGGAATGTTATAAGGTTTTGGTCCTAAGTATTAGACAGTTCTTGGGAAGTTGCAAAAGTCTGAGTTTGTTTCTTTATCTGTAGAATGAAAGGAATAACAATAACAGAAATATTAAAGTTACTCTGATAACTACTATTATATAGTTGAGATGCATACTTTATTGTTATTACAATATGGCTGTTGACAGAATCAAACAAAAAAAGAGGTGAAAAGACACACGTTAGTATTGTCTTTTCTGCCTTTCTTCTGAATGACTTATTTGTACAAGAAGTTCACTACTGGATTATTTTAGGAGTCAGACTTAATCATGTTGGATTCAAACTCAAAAAACATTTCTGAACAATAAGGAATAATTCTGAAGTTGTATTTATTATTGAGAATGTAGATAACTGATCTTTAGTGAGTAAGGAAGGTCATTGTTCATTTAAAAATGAGAACCTTCTAAAGTACAGAAAGCCAATTAATATTCGGCTCTAACACTTCATATTTACAATATTGTAGCATTTTCATTTCGAGGACATAAGCTATTTTGGAAGATTACTGATATTTAACAACAGTGAATGTTAGAACTGTTTTGTTCACATAACTTTGTAACCACCCAGAGACTGATCACAGAAATTAGTTGCTATCATCTGATCATTCAGCTATAAAAAAAGAAGAAACTGTAAAATGTCTTAATGCTACATTTTGTGTTTTCTGAAGTTCCAGGCAAACTTGCTAAGTTTGTCTTCAAGTCCAAATTAACATTTATTTGTGACTGATTTTGAAATATTTCAGGTATGGATTATTTAATGACATAAAATATTTCTCTTTGCTTACTAAACCTCCCATATAACTTTACTAGCTCCAGTTTGGGGAGTCATTTCAGGTTTTAATTAGAATCCAGATACAATACCAAAATATTACAAATTTCTCTACACAGTCCCTCGCCTGAGAAGCTATAACACTCATTAGGACTACACAGAAGACCCAGTTCATTAATTTTTAATCTCTGTTGTACCTTATTTTCTAATTTTGATAGTTTAAAAAAATCACTTAAAGCAGGTCACATGAGTAAATTCTAACTTTAAATGCAATGGGATTATTTTAATGGCCAGTTAAACAGATCTAGATTTAATAAGGAAGAAACAGCCTTGTGACTTCTTGTCATTTATGATAAAGATGAGCTTACATTTTCTTGCAGAATGAAAAAAGCTAAAATGAATAATTCTCAACAGTAAATTAAAGAATGGTATAATTATAGTTCTGAAAGCACTTATCCTGAGGGCAGGAAATGAAATTTGGGTCAATATTGAGGATTAATTTAAAATATATAATTTTTGTGAATTTAAGTAGGTTCACCATTTAACTGCATAATTTTTTAGACTGAATTACCTGTGGAGTCAATTCAAAAATGAAGATATTTCTCCAATTCCAAATATATAAAATTTCAGTTTTATTCATAGTTTCAAATCCTTAGATGTGATACTACATTTACTGTTTTAAGTTATATTTTCATAAAATAAAAGGCAGGCAACCTGGACTAAACCGCAGGTTTAATTTTTTCTTAATCTCTGTACCATATTGTAGTTTTTCTGTACAATAGATACCCTCCTCCACCAGCATGACGATAAATAAAAATACTTAGATTCGATAGCTTCTTGCATTTTAGGATACAGACACGCTGGCACATGCAAATATTCAAACTCATAATGTCCCAACCTATTAGACAAAGTCTCAGTGATTTTGTAGCTTAAGTAGAGCTTAGGTAATTACTATGACTCAACATCAAAAATACTGACAACATGAACTTGTAAGTACACATTAACAACTTCTCTTTATTGAGAACACTCTGTATTGTTTATAGTGAAACAAAACCACAACTTAATGGGTCTAACTCTTAATAAAGCAAGTTATACATTTATTCTATGGCATTTATACGTGATGCGCCTTAATACCAGCGAAGATGACATATATGCATTGAAGGAAGACAATAGAGACTCTTCTGTCTGGGTCCCTCATGAGTTAGGAACATATTCTATATTGGAAGATGCATGTATCTGAAGTTTTGACCTAACACAGTGGATTAAGGCTTAGACAATATTTACTTTGTTTGATTCAGAAAGGGCCATATGTGAAAAATATGATCCCAACCAACTTCACCATGATTCTACAATAGTCTCTCAGTAAAAAGATTTAGAGACATTGAGCTATAAAATAATTACAAAATAAGCTGCAACCTTATAGCTACCCATCGGTAAAAGTCTGTGGTTAATATATTTGGATAATAACTCAAGTCAGCAGCAAAGTGGTTAAACATTTGTGATTTGATTTTATCTCAGCTTGGAATGTGGTTGGAGTGTCCCACTTCTAACAACTGTTTGCTAAGTTAAGGCTTTAGTGTTTACACAGCGTTGAATGAAGCTGCCTGGTCACCAGATGTGATCACTTCCCCAGACTGTCGTTTTTCAGTCAGATCACTGTCCTTATGGTCCCTGTGCCAACCTTCTTCCGCAGCACCTCCACCAGCCTTTCCAACCTAAGTTGGGGGGCAGGAAGAAGAAAAAAAGAAGAAAAGAAAGAGAGTAATTAGTTAGAGCTGTTTTAGCTGAAAAAGGGTATGACTTGCCTGGGACCACAAAGTCCTGGCAGTCATGTTAAGAAACACAGCATTATTATAAATGAGAGACACTTCTGTGCAGAGTGCCAACTATTTCAGGTTAAAAAAAAAAACAGTGACAGCACAAACTTTATCTCAAATCCTCAGATTATGTCAGCATTAGATGCCTCAAGAAGTATACAGGGCATTCATTCTAACACAGTTGCTTGCATTAAGGTTGTGGGTGAATCATTCACTATGCAATGACAGGATGGCACATTAAGTGTAGAGTAGTTTAAAAGTGACTTTCCTTAGGAGTTGCATCCATTTCAGCATGGAAATACTAACAATCTTACTAACACTTGCGATCTATTTAAATAAGTGGCATATTGGTTGATACATTGTATAATTCTATGCATTTTTTTCTTCTTCAGAGATAGCAATAAAAATAAAACCTGCAGTTAGGTGACTAAGTGGAAAGAATCTCATGTCCCAGTAGCATGAAAATAACTAAAATAAATAAAAATAAATAAAAAAATTTAAAATGTGATTCTAACAAAATTTTTACACTACATTATTTTATAAGTTCCTATTTCTTAGTATAGGCTAGGAATTACCCATATAGGCTTTTTATTCAGAGGAAATTGAACTTAGCTGATTACAAAACAGCCAATTAAGCAGAAAATAGCCAAAATCCAGAAGTCCATTCTGCAGTGTTTTTTAGGCTACCCTGAGAGGAAAGGTCCCATGCATGGGGATCCATGAGTTTCACTTGGAGAAAGATGCCTAAATTCGATCATTACCTTTCCCTCCCCCCGCCCCTTTTCTCTACAGAAAGCATTAAAACCAAAACTACAAATCTTGTTTGATGTTAGAATGTTTCTTAGACGTGAAACTCATGCCTAGCAGTTTCATAGCTGCAACCTTTCCTCCTCAAAGACTGGGGGGTGACACAGTCCAGCCGCTTCAGTTTGCAGTTTGCCTCATTTGTATGGATTCATGCATGAGGGTCCTCTGCAAATAAACACAGCACAGAACTAGACACTAAAGGAATGGGGCTATTCTTAGTGCCTACTCAAAGGGGTTTCTGGAAGGAATAGGCGAATCGACTGCACACGACGCTGGAAACTAGTTTAAGCTTATGGATGATTCTGCATGTATCAAGAAACCTGCTGATAGAAAAGAACCAGGAGAACAAACGATTTCAGCACATCAGAATCTCCACTTTAAGAAATGTAGTAATGGTCTTAGAGTAAAATTTTGAATCTTGTCTAAGCTTATTACTACAAATTTCTCAACTGTAAACTATATATAAATACTATATATCCATTAAAACAGTCTAATGATTCATTGCATTTACAGATCACTCTGTATTAGTTGGACTTTCCGAGTGGTTAAAAACTAGTGTCATCTTACACACTTTGAATACTGTGATTCATGAGACTTTATGATCCTTTAAGATGAAGTTCCATTAACGAGTTGTGGAGGAGAAAAATGTTACAATTACACAACAACATTATCCAATTTTAAGTTACTATTAAAATCTGATAGTATATTGAATTAATGTTGACAAACAGTTCTCAGCATAAATCTTGACAGGCCATTCATTGTATTTTTTGCATACAGTTTGTTAAAATTTGGCTTAAAATTGATACTAATAATCGTACACATTTGTGGGCTGTGGTGTGATAATTAGGTACAGCATATATTGTGTAATGAGCATTATTAGGGTAACCAGAATTTCTGTCTCCTTAAATATTTACTATATCTCTGTTTTGGGAGGCTGTCAACATTCCTTTTTAAGTTCTTTATAAACTATATAATACTTTGTGAGCCATAGTTATCCTATATTGCTGTAGAACACTAGGCCTTACCCCTTCTCTCTAACTGCTTTTTGGTATCTGTTATCCAATACCTTTGTATTGCTCCTCCCCTCTGCTCTTCCTAATCTCCAGTAGTCCTGGCAATGCTATCAGATCAAGTTGCTATTTTCCAGGGGTAAGTGAGAAGATGCTGAATTTGTCTTTCTGTACTTGGCATATTTTGTTTAAAAACCTCCAGTTCCACCACAAGTGACAGAATTTCCTTCTTTGCCTGGTAAAATAGTATTCCACTACATATGTATACACCATATTTTCTTGACTCATCTGCTGATACATATCTCAGCTGATTCTATATCTTTGTGATGGAGAGTGATAAATTTATGAGTCCAGGTATCTCTTTGATACACTGATTTCTCCCCCTCCTCCACTTTGGATATACTCAGTAGTTGGATTGTTAGATCATAGGTAGTTTCATTTTCATTTTCTGAGGAATATTGATGTTGTATACAATGATTATACTAATTTACATTCTCACTGATAGCTGAGGGAGTTTCCCTTCTTCCTGTCCGTGCCAGCATTTGTTAGCTTTTGCTGCTTAGATAATAGCTATCTAACTGGGTGATAGAATAACTCATTGTGGTTTCTTTGCATTTCCTTGGTGATTAGTGATGCTAAAAATCTTTTCATACAATTGTTAGCTATTTATATGTCTGTTCTTAAGAAATGTCTACTGAAATCAATTGTCCATTTTAAAATTTAGATTTTTTTCCCTACTGCTGAGCTCTTTCCATACATGGATACAAATCCTTGTGTGCAGAAAATTTTCTCTCATTTGTCTGCTGTTAACTTTTTTACTCACTCATTAATTATTCCCATAATACATATCTAAAAGCATAGGGGTTCATGCCTCTCCCTATTTGTCCTGAGTTGCCACAATAACACACTCAGTTCACCATTATAAGTTTAACTTTCTGACACATAAATGTACCATTACAAGTATAGGAAAACATTATAATGTAAAAGTCTAAGTATTAATGGGAATCCCACTAGTATTGGGGAGTAAAGCACAATGTATACATTCATTTGTTCTCTTTTTTCCTTTGCTGAATAGAAGATTCCTAGCTTAACACAATCCTATTTAAATTTTTTTCCCCTCTTGTTGGCTGTGTCTTAGGGATCTTACCCAAGAAAAATTATGGTCTATGATCAAGTCTTTAGGAATTCTCCTAATTTTTCACCTGCTAGATTGATACCTTTGGGATTTACATGTAAGTCTGATCCATTTTGAGTTTATCTTCACACGATACAAGAGACAACAACATTTATTAAAAAGATCTTTCTTTCCCTAACGATTGTTGTTCACAAGCTTGTTAAAGATCAGTTGGATATAGGAGCTTGGCACAATGGCTCAATAGCTAAATCCTCACCTTGCAAGTGCTGAGATCCCATATGGGGGCTGGTTTGTGTCTTGGCTGCTCCACTTCCCATTCAGCTCCCTGCTTATGGCCCCAGGAAAGCAGGAGAGGATGGCCCAAAACCTTGGGATCCTGACTCCCTGTACGAGACCTAGAAGAAGATCCTGGCTTCTGGCTTTGAATCGGCTCAGCTTTAGCCATTGCAACCGTTTGGGGAATGAACCTGCTGATGGGAGATTTTACTCTCTGTATCTTCTTCTCTCCATAAATCTGATCTGCCTTTCCAATAAAAATAAATAAATGTTAAAAAAGAGATCAGTTGGTTATAATGCATGGATTTCTGGGTTTTAAACTTTTATTTCAATGGTATCTGAAAATATCATGCTACTTAGGTTAATATGGCTTTATAGTATGTTTTGATATCAGGTATTATGATGCCTGCAGCTGTATGCTCCCTTTCTCTGGTTCTCTGGTATTTTCTATGAACTTTAGGATTAATATTTCTAGTTCTATGAAGAACTTCATTGCTATTTTGATTGGGACTGCATTGAATCTGTAGATTATAGTGTGGACATTTTAACAACTAATTTTTCCAATCTGTGAATGTGTTTTAATTTTCAGTGTCCTTTTTTATTTGTCATTGTATAGATCATTCACTTGGGTAGTTAGTCTATTTTATTTATTTATTTATTGGCTGCTTTGAATGGGATTGATTTCTTGATTTCTTTCTCAGCAAGTTTATTATTGGTGTAACAAAATGCTACTGTTACAAGGTGTTTTTTCTCTCCTAAAATTTGACTAAATTTCTTGATCAACTCTAACAGTATTGTGGTAGTTTTCAGGTTTTCCTTCACCTAGAAACATGTTTTCTGCAACAGGGATATTATGACTTCCTGCTTTTCTATATGGATTTTTTTTAATTTCTTTTTTATGACTTATTGATCAATACAAAGTTGAATAAGCATGGTGGAAAGGAACACTTTTATCTTGTTCTTGATCACAGAGCAAATGTTTTCAGATTTTCTCATGCACTGTGATGTTGGCTGTGATTCTGTGATATATATACCCTTTATATTAATTTTTCAAATGATGAAGGATGTTATTTTTTTGTGCTGTTTGTGCATAGACTGACATATCATATGTTTTGGTCTTTACTCTGTTGAGATCACATATTATGCATTTTGGTTTCAGCATTTTGAACCATTCTTAAATCCCTTGATAAATCTCATATCATCATGCTGAACAATGTAGGTGATGTGCTATTGAGCTCATTTTGTTATTATTTTATTAGGCAAATGGCCTGTAGCCTTTGACTGGTATAAGTTCCCTTTCCACAATGCTTTTGTTGTATTTCATATTTCAAGTTTTTATTTTCAATTTTTTTCAGGAATGTTTTTCAAAATATTTATTTTATTTACTTGAAATGCAGAGTTACAGAGGTAAAAGGAGTGACACAAGAAGAGATCTTCCATCCACTGATTCACTGCACAAATGGGCACAACAGCCAGGGCTTGCCAGGCTCAAGTCAGGAATGAGAACACCAACTGGGTTTCCTACATGGATGACGGGTCCTAGCACATAGTCTGTCTTCTGCTGCTTTCCTAGATGTGCCAGCAGGGAGATGATTAGAACTGAAGGAGCCTAAGACAACTGGTCTTATAACTTTTAAATTTACTGATTTCTTTCTTGACTCACTGATTGT